AGATCTGAAAGAAGGGTGCAGGGTCATGCAGAGAAGAGGCAGGGAGCACACCAGGTCTCTGCAGCTCAGTGCTCACCAGGTGGGGAGGGAGGGGGATAATGCTGGCACTTGACCCCTTCTGTAGAGAGGTTTAAGATGCATCTTCCTGCCCTGGTGTTCCCCCACCTGCTTGGCAGGGGGTAGAGCCATGCACAGATCTCAGATCTGAAAGAAGGGTGCAGGGTCATGCAGAGAAGAGGCAGGGAGCACACCAGGTCTCTGCAGCTCAGTGCTCACCAGGTGGGGAGGGAGGGGGATAATGCTGGCACTTGACCCCTTCTGTAGAGAGGTTTAAGATGCATCTTCCTGCCCTGGTGTTCCCCCACCTGCTTGGCAGGGGGTAGAGCCATGCACAGATCTCTGCTCTGCTACCTGCAGGTATTAAACAGATATTCACAAATATGCAAGGCTCTAAATCATAAGCTTTTAAAAGCTAGTCTTTTACCTCTTCACCCCCCTCTGCCTAGCAGTGAGAAGGTACTGCTGTGGCTGTAGCCTCTTTCCTTACCAAGTTCATCCAGAGTGTACTGGAGCCAGCAGGGGTTTTCACTAGGGGTACATCTAGACTGCAAGCTGCTTTTGAAAGAGAGCATCCACACCTCAGAACAGGATCAAAAAAGCGATCTGCTTTTTTGAAAGAGAGCATCCAGATTGCATGGATGCTCTCTTAAAAGAAAGCCCTGATTGCTATTCACAGAATGGCCACCAGGGCACCTGTGATTTTTTTCGATTGCCTCTTTCAAAAAATGTCCCTGTTCTGTGTCCACACGTGACTTTTTTTGAAAGACCTCTTTCAAAAAAGGCATTCTTCCTTGTAATTTGAGGTTTCCCAGTGTCGAAACCCCCCCTGTGTTCTTTTGACTTAATTTCAAAAGAATGCGATTGCCGTGTGGACATAGGTGATTTTTTTTCTGAAACAAAGGGCAGTTTTTTGTTTTTTTTTAAATGTAGTCTAGACATACCCTAGGGCATTGCTGACAACCTTGCTGTATTAATTTAGATGGAATATGTGAGCCAATGGTGTTAACCTAACCCTGTCAATGTCCAACATTAAACAGTGTTTCAGCCCAGGGTTAACTATATAGAGATGTCAGCCTGCTGGGTACTATAGCACAAACACTCTTACCAATCCTTTTATTAAAGTTAAAAAACAGAAGGAAAAGCAGAGTTTGAAATGTCAGGTATAAAGTATGGCTTTTATTTTAATAGCTTTTCTTGTTTTTTTTCCCTTTAGCTGGAGAGTGTTTTTAGAAGGAAACAGACCCTTTGACAATTTTAGACGGTATCAAAGATTGTAATAACCTTACTTTTCCACAAAGAGGAGGTGTTTGAGATAGGCTTGAGCAGTTATTACAGCTGCTATTGAAATGTGATCCCATTTCACCTCAGCTGATGTTTTGTATTGAGCTGGCTCTGGTGGAACAGTAGTAATCAGTAGGCCAAAGCTGGACTGCCATATGCTTTTGAATAGACACTGAAATCTTTTTATATACTTATCATTTTTTAAATGTATTTTCTTTGCATTTTGGACTTTAACTGTAACTTGACCAAAAAATGTGAACATTGACAAAAAGTAAACAACCTTCGTGATAGAGGTTCCCATGCCATCTGGGTACCTCTCTCTGTCCCAGACTGGTTAGAGCTTCTTTCAGGCTCACAGGGAATGTAGGCCTGGTCTCCCAGGAAATTTGTTTTGGTGACAGCCAATGAAGTTTGCTTTGGTAGCCTTTGTCTGGTCTTATTTCTAGCTCTTTACCCAGGGTCTTTCTTTAATAACCCATAAAGAGAGCAGTGGCTGAAATAATCCATTCCCCTTATTTCGACCTAATAACCAAGGGTATGTCTACACTACCCCGCTAGTTTGAACTAGCGGGGTAATGTATGCATACCGCACTTGCTAATGAAGCCCGGGATTTCACGAGGAGTAACGGTAGTTTGGAATAGGAACCTAGTCCGAACTACCTAGTTCGAGCCCCGTGTAGCCGCGCTGCACGGGGTTCGAAGCAGCGGGGATTTAAAAATGGTGGCTCCCCGCTTATGCTAATGAAGCCCGGGAAATTCAAATCCCGCTGCTTCGAACCCCGTGCAGCGCGGCTACACGGGGCTCGAACTAGGTAGTTCGGACTAGGTTCCTATTCCAAACTACCGTTACTCCTCGTGAAATCCCGGGCTTCATTAGCAAGTGCGGTATGCATACATTACCCCGCTAGTTCGAACTAGCGGGGTAGTGTAGACATACCCCAACATAGCAATTTTGGCTCTTTAATTACATGTTCCACATCATCTTTTTTTTTTACCAAGCATGATTTTAACATAGACCTTGAATCATATTAACTTAGCACTTTTTGACTAATTTAGTCTGTTTCCCTTTCATACATTTTCCCACCAGAATTTGTATTATTGTAACACTTTATAAATTTGTAAATACCTTTTGCAATTGAGCTTATTATTAGGGTGAACTTATAGGCCCAATTATCATAACAGCTTTCATCTTACTTTTCCTGGCTTGCATGTATCTGGTAAATATTTTTTGTACCTGTACTTATTTACTAGTGACTTAGTTTAATAGTTCAAAGTGACTGTTGTACAGGCAGTCCCCGAGTTACGCGGATCCGACTTATGTCGGATCCGCAGTTACGAACGGGGCCCTCCCTCTCCCTGGTCTCCAGCAGACCAGGGAGAGGAAGCAAAGCGGCGGAACACGCGGGCAGCTGACAGCCCAGACGCGTCTGGGCTGTCAGCTGGCTGCGTGTTCCGCCGCTTTGCTTCCTCTCCCTGGTCTGCTGGAGACCAGGGAGAGGGAG